GTAATACCGTATCAAAAAGTGATTATTTAATTGCGTGATTAACAATCACGTGTCGTAATAACATCATAGTTAAATAACGGGATCGTCAAAATCACGAGGAAAAGTATAGAAATAATTAGGAAAAAATATATTTATGCTGAACTCAGCACAAATAAAGCGCGTCAAATGCATGATTTAAAATTTGCATGTCGTAACAGAATAATTGGAATTTTTTATAATACGTAGGAACGCATAGCAGTAACTGCCGAGAAAGATTTTTGAAGAAAAAGAAAGAATTGCAAAAAAAAGATAGAAAATCACTTAGATTTAAGATGAAATCGTCACAAATAAAGTGCCCAAAAAGTGATTATTTAAATTTGCGATCTGAAACTCGCGTCGTTATAAAAGTTCGGAATTTTCAAAATCACGTAGTAAAGCGGAAATAACTGTTTAAAAAAAATCATTTATATTTACGATAAATTCGGCTTCAAGAAAGCTCGTTAAACGTACATTTACTAAAGAATCTGTTAAAATTGATTGTGTCAAAACGTGATGACTTTAAAGTGCGATTAAAAATTGCCATTTTTTAAAAAAATTTTTTATTGTGTTTAGAAACTCTCGCGGGCCGCACTTCAGTAGTCGAAGGGCCGCATTTGGCCCGCGGGCCGCAGGTTGTGCACCCCTACTATAAACTGTGTTCACTATAGCGAGGTTTGACTGTATATATATATATAAAAAATACAGTCAGGTTACATAGCATTTTTAAAAAGTGCTTAAAGTAGCTTATTTTTTGGTTTATGTTTTTCAAAAGCCCTTAAGGATGCTTTTTCAATTTGGGTTTTGTAAAAAGTGCTTATTTTTTTCTTTTTCAAAATGATATTTTTCCCTTGCCATGTAGAGTGTCGTCATAAGTTATGAAAAAATGATTTTCACTATTTTTCTTTCAATATTTATCAGAATTTTTGAAAATGTTTTTTTTCTATCAAGATTATGTAAGGAATTAAAAATTTTTTTTACGCGTGTTGCTTTTATGTTTATAAATGATTTTTAAACAGAAGAAGGAACATTTTTTTATTACTCTGCATATCTTATTTATGATTTTTAAAAATTTTTTTTTTTTAAAAAGTGATTAAAATAATTTTTAGAGTGCTTAATTTTTGTTGACAAATTTGGCTACATACCCTGACAGAGAATATTTTTATTACCATACTAATTAAGAATAATTAGTACTAAATTATGAAGAAAAATTATTACCAATCATAAACTTGCATCTTGTTTAAACAATGTCTTTTTTTTTAATTTTTTTTTTAACATTTTGTTGATAAATTGGTAGCTAAAAATTTTGATGGCTTAGATGCATCACAAAATTCTTATAGATAAATTTAAATTCTCCAAAAGTATGTTGTTCACTTATGCCTATGGAAAAAAAGTTACTTGAATATTTCATTATTTTATTCTACTATTTACAAACCCTTTTTGCCTATTTAACTTTTTTAAATTTATTGCAGGCAAACATAGGTAATGTATCATTAGAGACAGAAGAAGGTCCTGATGGGGAAGAACAAATTTGTATCACATTGTTATCTAAAAGAATGCACCACTTGAGATTGGAAGAATTTGGCAATGAACCCACTGACTCTGCAAGAAAGTAGTTCAAATTTTATTTCTCTTCCATTTGTACTTATTCATCTCCTTTAGTATCATCATGATGTAAATTATTTTTCTCACATTCATTTGAACATCTTTTTATGACTGACAATTTCATCAAATTACCATAGCAATACTATTCGTGAAAACTGTATACCTGAGTTTGTATATGAATTGTATTCATGTCCTATGTATGCAAAAAATATTTGCTCTATAATTTCTCATTCATTTAGGAATAGTCTTTATTTTTTATATGTTACAAAATGTTCTGCAACTAACAAAATAAAAAAAAGTTATTTATTCGTCTCAGTTGTGCTTTTCTCGAAATTTTTTTTGTTAACCTAACTAAAATATGCTAACTGGACCTAACCTAAATGAATAACTGGAGTGGACAATATTTTAAGTTATAAACGCAGACTCGAAAAAATGATTTCCTCTGAAAAAGCATACCTTTTTTTTCTTCTTCAAATGATTTGAATTTGTTGCTAGAGCACTGTTTAAAGTTTGAGCGTCTTAATGTTAATTTCACTATTTGCTTTAGTTCATGGTCAAAAACTTTGTGCGCACAATTGTTCTTTTTCTTTTCTGAAGATAATTCTATGTGAAAAGAACTTAATTTTTAATGATTATTTTATATTTTTAATTAATTATTTTTAATTGTTACGATAATGGTCAAAATAATTTTGAATTATTAAATATACAAATTTTTACATCATTTTAAACTATGTAATTTTAAATAGTAAAATGCCATATCATCAAAATTAGTTTAAAATGATGTATGGGTACTAAATTAGTTAACTATTTCACTGATTTTGCTCAAAATTCATAAATCTTACTATTCAAATTTTTATTAAATGATAAAAAATAATAAATAAATATTTGATTAATTTATTTTTTGCATGAAATGATCTTCAGATAAACAAACAAGTTTTATAATTGAGTGTGTTCAAATTCTTTTCTCAAGACAGAGTATGTTTTTGTGCCAGATTTTATAATTTACTTAAAAGTTGTACTGATTAAGAGCCTCTTTTGCGTGTGGAACTGGGAAGATTGGTACTGATTTTGTGAAAACCTGATTATTTGAACAAAAGTTATTCAGCATGATATCTTTTTTTAAAATTTAATTATTTTTTATTCACTGTACAAAAGTTTTAGCTATACGCATGGAAAATTCTTCTACATTTACCACATAACATCAAACACTCCTTTTTTGCTTTGTTTTTATACTTTTAAGTATTTTTAAGCCTAGTACCTGATTATAACTTCACTAATTAGGAAATGGTACTTGTTTGATTTGTTAAATTCAAGTATTTTTATAAAAAAGATGCTTAAACCACAAAATTGAATTAAATGCAATAAAACTTATTCAAATTAAATTAAAGGCTGTTTTCCAGTTACTGTAGCACATTTATATTGTAGAGAGAAAAGAAGAAAAAAAACAACAAAAAAGACTGAGTTAATTTTGTATCTGCTAATTATAATTTTTTTTGTATTCCAAAGAAGGAAATGTTTTCAACCAGTCAAATTATCTTATAGCTGAATGAATTGTAGTCCAAAATAATGTTTTATCTCACTACTTTTATAAAGTTTCATTTTCTTTAAAAACAGTGTGATAGGTTTTGTTTTTGTAAATACAGTCGGACTTCTATTTAACGAACTGCCATTTTGTGAATTTTTCTATTCTGAAATTTTTTTCGAGGAACCAAGAACATTTTGGAAATTTCTTTGTGAAATAACTTTCAAATAGCAAAGTGAATTTTGTATTGAAAGAACTTTTCTTTAAGATCCACTTTTCCTATTTCCCAAAATATTTCGGAGCATTTCAAACTTGTTGACGCATTTTATGGCGGAAATGACCTTGAATTGATTTTCACAGCCACTTTAAGAGAAAGCCGTAAAATCCATAATTGTTTGCGTTTCATTCAGGAATTCATGCCAAAAATCAAATTACGAGAACAGAAATTTCTAAAACATGAAACTATGATGTTACAGATTGTACTATTCGTAACAGTTTTGCTGAAGTTGGATTCTTAGTAAGCATGGAGAATTTAGAAAGTGGGGAGGACGAGGATGATATTCCTTTAGAATAACTTTAAAAAAAAAATTTGGATGCAGCTAAGAGAGAACCACGGAATTAAAGATGTACTGATTAATGATTTTCTTTTTATTGACTCTGAAGCTGCAACCGCAGAAACATTAACTGAATCAGATATTTTGGACAGCGTGAAAAAATAAACAATGCCACAATAAATTTTGAAAAAGATGAATGAAGAAATCAAATCTTCATATGATGAAATGCTAACATTTAAAACAATTTGATAGTAGATAATAATTTACAAGATAAAGATGTATGAATTGCTACAGTTTTGTCAAGTGTTCATGAATTTAAAACCTGTTTAGTGTTGTTTAAGTATTTCAAATGGTGATTTCCTATTTAACGAGTTTTACATATAGGGAAAGTTTTATTAGGATTTCATTAAATAGAGTTCTCACTGTACGTGTTTATGGAGAAAATACTTTTTAAAACAGCTCAATTTCTCTGGCAATATATATATATTAATGCTAGAGAGCTAAGCATTTTTTCCAGACATCTGAAATCAGAAAGAATAGTTTAAAAAAGTGAATTTAATTGTTTAAAACGATTATTATTCTTTCTTTAGAGCAGATTTTTTTTTCACAGCTGGCTCTGATTTAAACCATTTTAATTTTTTGTGATTTCAGCTAAAAGAAAAATAATAATGATTACTGTTATCCAACACACTTGGTGAAGATGTTTTAGAATCAAATTTTTTTATATATTTAAATCAGATTTTTTAAAATTTTTTTCCTCCACATTTTATGGTGAAAGCGCTGATAAGATGTATAAACCTTATGCTTGATACTATAAATAAACCAGATTGAGAAATTTAACCGTGCTACGTGTCGTAAGTAAAGGGTTTATAATGCTTTATATTATCTAAAAGCAATATTTTAATTAAAATACTTAATAATTCTAACAAAAGGTTTAAAATTAGTATTTAATTATTCCTAACAAATTGCTATATAAATAAAATGATAGTTATTTTTATTCTAGCACAACACCCTCGTGAATTTCTAAAGACAGACACGTTTTGTCAAATGAATAATAAATTTAAATTTCGAAACATTAAAAACAGAATTCTGATTGGCAGAACTAGTCTTCCTTCTTTATTTATCTACACAAATTATGTATAAGTTTTAAACTTGTATTTAAATAAGCATAAAATTGAACGAATTTAGGTGAAATATATTTATTAAACATCAAATTGTTTTATATGCAGCTACGGGAAAAATATTCTATGAAATTTTATATCATTCTATCAAGCATAATAACAGAGATGATTGTGCTCCGAAAAAAATCCGGAATTCCAGATTTTCCGCTAACCGTGATCCGGAAATCCAAGGTTCAGAAGTTTCAAGAAATCATCGATCACATTTATGTATAAAAATTCTTATATATTTTATTTTAAAATATTACTAGAATTTATACTTGGCATCTCTTTCATTTGTTAATATTTTTCCGGTAGAATAATAAATGTGATTAGAGATAAAAGTAAACTTATGTTTAATTTGTAATTTAAATTATTCTGCATATAACTTATTAGGACTTTCATGTTGTGAAAATATCAATGATTTGAATTTATAAGGACATTAATTTTTTGAAATGCGTCATGAATGATTTTACTCAAGAAATTTTCAGGATTTTTGAGTTGGGTTCACAATCACCCATGTAAAAATAAATATAATTGGTGCAATAATAATAACAGCAATTGTGATGCAGCGACCACTCTCTTTCCCACAGTAAAATGGTAATCGACGGAGGTTGATCGTTGTTAGAGGTTACCTCCATTGACTTCAAAATTGTTATCGAAGGCACATCATTTTTCGCAGTTTTAATTTTATCCAGTGTTATTTTCTTGGTGCTGAAATGCAACTTCTGTCGGCATCACGAAAAGACGTATCAATGAATAAAATTTAGTAAATTAATTAATTTAGCAAATAAAATTTGAAATTTATAAAAATGATCCCAACTAATATAATTATGTATAAAAACAAAATTACTAATTATGAATTATGAAGCTATTTTAAATAAATAAGCCGTTATGTTTAAGTTTGCACTTAATTTTATATCTTAAAAATTAGTTAGTAAAGGATAAGAAGAGGTTCCTTTGAGATGCTTGTTTTTTCTAAAACAACTTTTTTTTTTCTAATTTAATTTTAACTCTGAAGTAAATTATTGATAGCCTTGTCTTTAGTGCACTCTGATTGCAACTTTATGTTGTATCATCAAAAAGAGCTTTCTAAGTAAGAGTCTCACTCAGATATTTTGAACACATTTTAATCTACTTATTTGTTTTGTTAATTTTTTTTAATATTTTTTCATGCATCCTTATTTGGCCTTTTCTGCATTGGGTGCAGATGTTACACAGTCTGTGAGAGGTTTTATTGATCTCTCTGAAAGGTTTTCTTCAACTGAAAGTTTATGAAAAAATTCCGTGCATTCCAAAAGCGGTCGTAAATAGAGGTGGTCTGGAGGTTTCACTGTATAATCAGAATTTTTTTAATAAATTCACATTCATAAGAATATGTTTATTAAATCCGCAAAAAAATATTTTCAACTTAATTCAATGACTTTTTTTTAAAAAAAACAACTGATTTAAATCATGCCAACCCAGCTAACCAATAATATTTAATTTTATAATTTAAGCTGTATTTCTTTAAGAAAATACTTAATTGCTAATCAAAGAAAACAAATTTGACCTTTTTTATACAGTTGAAACTCGTGAAGACGATAACGCTTGGACACAAATTTTTGCTCAAGATAAGGCAGACAATGTCTTTCTCAGGTTATCTTGGAAAATAATTTTATCATTAAATTTTTAGCTAATTTTGTTATTACATTTTTATCATAGCATATGAAATTTTATCATTAAATTTTTTATACAGTATAATAATATACAGTTTATAAATTTGTATCTAATTTTATCACTACATTTTTCATACAGTCGAAACTCGTTAAAACGACAACTCTTGACACGAATTTTTGCTCAAGATGAAGGCAAACAGTGTCTCCCTCATGTTATCTTGGAAAATAACAATGTTATCATTAAATACAAAAAAAAAATTTTGCGCACTGCATTCAGAATTATCTACATTTTATATGCAAAGAGAAATTTTGTTAGTATTCAAAGTATTTTAAAAACTACAGTCATTTTATAGGATATAAATTTATAAAACATATGTGTAATCTTATTTTGCCAGTAAGAAGCTCTGAGATTTAAAGGTTGAAGTTATAGTTAGCATTGCATAGTTCATACTGACTTTTTAGTAAATTTATTACCACTGTTTACGCTTATAATGAATCAAGAACCTTATCTCAAGTATATTTAATGTATCAGGTAAGCCTGGAATATAATTTTAAGATCCCTTGTCAAAATTTAAGTCAAAGTATACCTGTGAAGGGTGACAAATGAATGTTTAAGTAAAAATGTGTTTGACAAATTCATTAGAATAGGAAGAAGGGGTGAAAAATATTAAAGTAATTTTTATTGCCTGCTGAAACATGAAGGGGAATTACCTTGGTATCTTCCTGTAATCAAAAAGGTTTTTAGTCCTGTCTTTCTTGGTCGAAATTTATTAGAATTCGATAACGTGTTTGTGACTTTATTTTTGACAAGGACTCTTTAATCAATGTAATATTAAGGATAATCAAACGACACCGTTCAAAAATAATTTGTTTATTTCTTAAAACAACTTTAAATTTCTTAAAACAACTCTATTTCATGAAAAAAATGTCTCGTTTAAAATATGTAAAAATATTGTTATTCATATTTTCTCACATAATTTGGAATAAAAAAAATCATGCTTATGTTATATCTGATTGCAGGGTTGGCTAGGTTGCCCGAATTGAATCGAACACAATATTTTTTTTTAAACACATTTGAAAAAAAACTTATAATTTTGACCACAATTTTAGTTTTTTTCTCTCCATTAATAAGGAAAGTATATATGTAAAAAAACAATTATATTCATAAAGTTGTAAATGTAAGTAAACTTTTCATTCATTATGGCTACTGAAGAAAAATAGCTAATTTTTCATTGAATGACCTTGGTTAATCAGAACTAGATCAGTGACTTAACTTCGAATAACTGAGCTATGTAAGACGAACAAAAATAATGGGTTATAAAACAATCATTAGAGCTGTCTTAACTTATGGATTCGAAACATGGTCTTCAACTAAATCACAAGCAGACCTCCTTTCTGTTTTTGAGAGAAAAAGCCTAAGAAAAGTTTTCTGTGCTGTAAATATAGAGGGCTTTTGGAGGAAATTTTAAGCTAAGCTATATAGGGCTATTCAAGGAAGCTGATATCAACAAATACTTCAAAATAAGTAGCATAAAGCTTGTGGGTCACATCTATCGAATGAACATTGAAGATCTTCAATTATCCAACCAATGGGAACTGGAGTTAGAGATAGGCCTAAGATCAGATGGCTTAACTGTGTGGAAGAGGATTTTAAAATCCTGAGAATTGCTAACTGGGGAACAATTGCAAAGAAAAGAGCAGAATGGTGGAAGGCTCTGGCGCACAAAGTGCTGTCATGCCAATGGAAGAAGAAGCTGAACTATGTTCAGCCTTAATAGTTTAAATAGAGTTGAATTGCTTAAAACAAATTTTTTCTCAGTTTTTCTATATATTTCTGTAACAACATTTGCAATAAATAAACAGAAAATTTTGATTTAATTTTAATAAGCTCTTAAATTAAAATATATATCATACGCCTAAGCTTTGCAGTGGCTTTTTATGTATCTGCAAATGAAAAATTTGTGGTGTTTTCTCTGTTAAAAAAATATTTGTTTTTCTTAAGAAACCCATTTAAAAACCCTGGCTTTCTTTTGAGAAAAAAAAAATTTTTTTTTGTTGGTTTTCTTGAAAAAATTCAAACAGGTTGTGTTTTTTTGGAAAAAAAAAAGAAAACCTGGATTTGTAGTAACTCTAGTTGAGTGTTTCTTGAATTAATGAAATTTTTTTTGTGGTAAATAATATTGATCATAAGTTTTTATACAAAATTTATAGCAAAATTAAAAATAATAATTTTGATACTTAATGAAAGGAATTAGGTGATCTGGTCAGAAGTGCAAATGACCGGTTAAAATGAAGAATCAAATTGAGAGGAATAAGTAAGTAAAGAATTAGAAAACTGTAATTTTTATAAAATCCTAAAATTGTGAAAAACTACAAGGCATTGATTGTTATTTCTTAATCCAGGAGTCGGCAATGTTTTTCCATCTTTGTAGTAGATCTTCATTTTTTTCACTTGTTAGACTCTTAAGTTTGTCCCAACCTGTCTTTGATGTTTCTAAAAGATATTCATTTTGTGGATCGCGACTATAACTGTACGCTCCATACACTAAAGATTGACAAAATCTGCATTCTATACACATCTGAAAATAAAAATAATCTCAATTAAACAACATCAAAATTTGGAAGCATTTCAGTTTATGTATAAATATCTTAAATCATAAAAGTTTGAGCCGCGATGGCTCGGGGGATAGAGCGTTCGAACCGGGTTCGAATCCAGTCGATACGAATTCCGCATCATCCGGCTTGCACCGACAGCAGTGCTGACGTGAAATATCCTCAGTGGTAGACAGATCATGGGTTCAAAGTTCCCTTACAGTCAGGCTAACGGTGGGAGGTTCTCGTGGTCTTCCTCTCCATGTAACGCTAATGTGGGTTAGCTCCATCAAAAAGTCCTTCACTATGGCAAATTTCTCCTAATACTCGATCCAGGAGTTGTCTTCTGGATTGGGTTCAAAATTAGAAGGCTACGGAGTTGAACATTAGTAGTCGTAAACCCATAAAATTGGGTCGACTGTTCATCGACGGGATTATAAAAATAATAATAAAAGGTTTGTGTTCTAATAATGTGCTTATATTTAGAATTTCTAAAGCAAAAAATTGCATTTTATATCGTACTCCTTTTAAATATTTAGTTACGTTATTTAAAAGAAAATCCTGGTTGCAGGGTTCCCATGGTCCTTAAAAACTGCTCAATTTTTATTTTGGAAAACAAGGGCCCTTAAAAGTACTTAATTTTGGTTTTTAAAGTCCTTAATTTTTCAGCATCACAATAGTTGATAGGATCAATTTTTTCAAAATGTCTTTCTTTTATCACTTAGAATTAGACCTTGCCTCAAGGGTAAAGCATTTTAGTGAGACCAAAATTAATGTGTGTGTGTGGGGGGGGGGCTACAAACAAGGAAAAGAAAGCATGTCCTTACATTAATATATTGGTTCCTTCATTAATATATTCTGCCTTTTGCCTAGAATGATACTCTATGAGGAGAGTGAAGCATTCTCAAGGAAAAGAATAGTGTGGACAAGGGGGATACAGCACATGGATGAGATAGTGCTTTTTCTGTGTGTGGGGGGGGGCAGTTTTAAGGTACCTAAGTAGAAGACCCACACTTCAAAATTGACAGAATTTAAGAAATTCAGTCATACTGTTAACGCATCTGCTTATAGGAATTAAGTAAAATGCTAAGAAATGAAGTATCAGAAAATATTTTTCCATAACGAAAACTATTTCCTAAAATCTTGAAGACTTAAATAAATTTGTACAATTTTTCAATATGTAATAAGTAACAGCAAATTTATAGAGAGCAGTAACATTTTTTAAAATTCATGATTGTACAAAAAATTAAACTGATCTGTAATAAACAGGGTTTGAAAAATCCCAGCCCACCTAGGTTTATCATCAAAATCCTGGTTTTTTGATGAAAACCTAAAGTTTTTTCAAAAATACTTTAAATATTTTTTTTCCTGAGTACTTAATAAAAAAGCATGATTTGCTTCTAACAAGAAAGTTAAATATTTGGTAACTACTTATAATTTGTTTTGTTGTAATGTAAAAAAAATACTTTTTTGAAGTTTTAGATTGTTGCGCTATTATTTTTATTTCTTAAGGATAAGCAGATTGTTACGTAAAAATTTAGATCTCCTCATTTAAAAGGTTCTTAGATTTTATAAATCATTTTATTCAGTTAACATTGCAACTTAATATACTGTTTTTAATTTTTATTCCATTTTTGGTTGCTGTAAAATTAGTTCATGTTTTTCGCCAGACTGTTTAGTAACATTATGTACAGTTAATTCCTAATAGCAGGTTTTGCTGGAAATAATTTTGTGTAAAATTCATCATAAAAGTAAATATAACTCATTTGCTGTTTACTAATAATTTCAAAATTGTTAATATATACCCTTTTCGATATGTTTTTCGTAAATTTTTTCAATATTTTTTACCTGATAAAGTGATATTGCAGGATTTATAAGAATATAAAAGAAAGAGGATATAAAAGAATACCACTTTCAGTTTTAAACTGTTAATTTGCGATAAAAATATAATATCAAATCATAATAATAATAGAGGATAATATTAAGAATGCTAGAAGATGATAAAGAAATATTAGTGGTAAAAATCTATACATGATGTAAAAATAAATAATTTATCACTATTTGTTAATTAAGGAACCTTATCACTTTTCTGGCCATTGAAATTTGTTTAAACTTTTGAAAAATCATTTTAGACCCTTTTATTTATATGTTTCACCTAGAACTGATAAAAAACATATTGGTTTGAAATTATAAATTTTCTCAAACATAATTGCATTTTATTTCATAAAAATATTTATTGCAATGAATTTAAAACAATTTGTTAAGTTAAGCGTAATGAAAAAATAGTGGAATGAATTAACGTACTTAGATATTAGTATGGCCTGTTTTTACTGGAAATACGACTTAATTTAACATGGCAGAGTTTAGAAAATTATTCTCATGCATAACTCTAGTTCAGCTTTTTAGTATTTATTTTAATATTTCCTCTTATAATGAAACATTTTATGAATAGAAAAGAAACAATTTTTTTGGCATAACTGAATATTTAGCAAGATTGGCTCTTAACTGAAGGTCTAGTAGCAAAATATAAAAAACTTGTAATAATTTTTTAAATGTTTTTACCAAATTTCTTTATTTAGTCTATTTATTTTTATTTTAAATGAACATGAAAAAAATTGCAAATCTTAATTTCTGCAACGGAATACGGATTAGTTTCATGGATGATGTTAACCTTTGACAATATGAAAATGTTTAAAAAAAATCGTTCCAGGTTTGCAAATATTGCCTGGTACTTCTTTGGCGAGCCCTGTTAATTAATACAATTATATCAGTGCTTACATTATAGTAAAATTATTTTTTTCTATTTATTGATTTTTTTAAAGAAAGGTAAATAATTGGCTCTGTCACTGGTGGTATATGTATATTCGATGATAAACAATCATTCTATTTTTAAAGTCCTTAATTTTTTCAAAAAAAGTCCTTAAAAGTGCTTAATTTTAGCTTTGTTAAAAGAGTGGGAGCCCTGTATTGGNTAAACTGATCTGTAATAAACAGGGTTTGAAAAATCCCAGCCCACCTAGGTTTATCATCAAAATCCTGGTTTATTGGTTATATGTATATTCAATGATAAACAATCATTCTATTTTTGAAGTCCTTAATTTTTACAAAAAAGGTCCTTAAAAGTGCTTAATTTTAGCTTTGTTAAAAGAGTGGGAGCCCTGTATTGGCATTTATATTTTAAGACTAGCTGAATATCCTTTCTTCGTACTGATTAAAAATAGGAAATAATCAATGCTATTAATCAACACTGCAATGCACAAAATGGCATACAGGAACACAACAGCAAAAGTAATTCTAATCTTTTAAATATTATTATTTGCTGTTGTGACTTTAGGTTATAAAATTAATCAAAACATGCTGTTGTTGAGAGCCATCAAAATAAAGATTAATTACTGGGGTTGGACGAAATAATGGAAACACTTCTTTACCAACAGAGTTTTTGATCTTTCTTACGAAATACTTAGATAATTATTTTATAAATTTAAAAGCTTATGTTTAGCTCAAACTTATCAATGAAGTTTAAAGGTTTGAGGGTCCGATGAAAAATTACAAATGGAAAATATAGTTTTTGAACTCCCTATACCAAAATAAAGAACAATAAATTTGAAAGAATTATTTTGGTTATTATATGCGACAATTGCATAAAATTTCGTAAATCTATCTTAGTTTAAATATTTATGACACTTTAGACATTTTTACAAAAACTGATTTTTTGTCTTACGTTTTTTTGTATAACTTTAAAGATATTCAATAAAATTAAATAAATTTTTGGAGCTATTTAAAATTGACTGCAAAATTATGCTTTAAAGTTTGAGAAAAATATATTTAAAACTGCCCAAAGATATGAGGGATACTGCTACATTATACTGCGCATGCGTGGAAAAAGCTAAAAAATTGTTATCTTACTTTTGTAGTAAATCGTATTTATAAATTATTATTTTTTATTTTTAAAAAACCCAAAATTGTAAACAAAATTGTTTTTTTAAAAGAAAAAAAAACCCAACCCAAAAATGTCCAACTTAGCCAAGTTTGTCTGAAACATATTTAAACTTCACAATAAAATCGGTGGCATTATTCTGCTCCCACACCAGAGTTCCCCCTAGGAATAAAAAAGGGCGCTGCTTCTCAAAGAAGGGCACTATATGTTTTGATAGGGCACTCATTCAACCCCATAAAAATTTATCAAAATGTGTAATATTATGTAGTAACTGAACTTGATCTTCAAAAATTTTTAAATTACCCTCTTGTACTATTTTATGAGTATATTTCAAAAGATGATTTGCTCTCATTATCAGAATAAGAGACAAATTTGTAGTTTATAAAAATCAATAGAAGGCATGCTAATACATAATCTCTGGGATTAAACTTTTTAAAAGTAAAAAAAAATATTAATTAATAAACAACTTGAAAGAATTTTATATAATTTAAACTGAAAATTATGAGAAAATAAACATTATAAAATGCTTTTTTTTAAAAAAAAAAAAAAAAAAAAAAAGTTACTCATTTAAAAAATAATTTTAAAAATTAAAACCATTAAGATGTTTTAATATCCCTCCCGAAAAAAGAGATACTTATTAAAAATTTATCGATATAGGAATAATCCTTACAAAGTTAATATTTGTAATAGTAATCAGAATTAAATCTATAAACACAGATCATTTCACCTGTGTCTCATTATTATTTAAACGGTGAATTAATTTTATTAAAAATAGAATAGGAAGAAAAAAGCAGTGTTTTTAAGAGAGGGTCGGCTTATCTTTACAAAAAGGACAGAGAGGGCGCATTTAAGGGCAGGCAGGACGGACCGCCCTTCTAAAAACGCTTGGGAAAAAAACTGTAATATAAATGAACTTACCTTCAATGAATTGAGCTCTAGGTTATTAAATTTTCTTTCGGTAAGGTATCCAGCAAGGACGTGTCCTGGAGCACATAGGACATTCTCTTCAGTGTACACTATCATTGCGTACATCATCATAACGCCAACATCCCAAACGTAGGTTCCCTCATGAATGTCTTCGAAATCCAGAACTCCATCCACACTCAAAAGGGTGCTGCCACATTCTGAATGTTGCTTTTGAATTAAGACATTGTTCTCATTGAAATCTCCATGGATTATACCTGTAAGAATATATAATTTGTCTAGTGTCAATCAAAAAACCAGTTTGATTGCTAGATGGGGTCGTTTTGAATATTCGCCTTCAGTTCCATGAAACCAGGTTTGATGCTTTTGATCACAACGATTGATCTCGATTATAACTTATCAGATTTTCAGAAAGTTTTACTTTCTTCTCATTTAACTTAAACATTATTATTTTATTTTTTTATTCTGTCCAAAAGTGGGTGATTTCACCTCTTTGTGAAAACACATTTATTGTTATTTTACTTTTGTTTTATAACCGTCGTTGAACAGACCCACTGAATTTTTAGTTTACGGCTATCCATGTTCAATTTCGTAGTCAATTGAACCTTATCCAAGGGAACTCCTGGATCGAGTATTGGGAGAAATTTGCCTTCGCAGAAGACTTTTTGATGGAACTAACCAGCGTTTTCGTTACATGGAGAGGAAAATCATGATAATACCTTACAATAAATGTTCCTTCACCAAAATGTAATTTAGTGAGGAAAAAAAAACAATCAAAATGAAGATACTTTTATGGGGGATGATCCGCAACAAAGTCGGTTTCATTTTTAATAAATCTTGCGTAGTAGTGCAACATCAAAGATGCGGAAAACCCGTTATCCTTTTGAGCATTCTTTAAGTACGAAGACTATTTAAAAGATAGCTTGAAACTTTTAAAATTTTTTAGATCTTCAAATCGGATTTTTTTTAATTCGTTGCCAAATACACTACAAGATGTAGAATTTTTTTTAAAAATTATTCCAGTGCACGCGCAGTGCAAAAGAACTGCTTTAATTACTCATATCTTGAGCAGTTTAAAATGAATTTTTTTCAAACATTAAAGCAAAAATTTCGTAATTAATTTCAAGTTGTTCTAAAAATTTTCCTGAATTTTATTAAATTTATAGAAAAAAATTAGTTTTTTTAATTTTTTATAAAAATGTCTGTATTGTTTAACCTAGGCTTACGAAATTTTGTGTGATTATCGCATATAATAATCAAAATAATTGTCACAAGTTACATATCAATTGTTACAATTTTTGGCACAGGGTGTTCAAAAACATTATTTTCCATTTGTAATTTATTGTCGGTCCCTTAGACATCTAAAAGCTTTAAACATTGTATGAAAAATGACATAATCTAAGCACTTCGCAAGTTATAAAATAATTCTCTTAGTATTTCAGGAGAACTATGAAAAAATGTATTGACATGGAAGTGTTTCCATTATTTTGTCCACATCCTGTATAACATGAAAATAAGATCATGACTGATTTCTGCTTGCTTAAATGAACATAATGTCATTAGTCTAAATACTATCTAAACAGTTACTGCAAAAGACACAATTGTTGATTGAGTCGATCATCAATCACTTTTAAGGTAGGAAAGGCACAATAGGCTATTGGCGACGGTCTGGGAATCATCCCTGACGATGATCCGAAGACATACCTCCGTAATTTCGATCCTCTGAAGAGAGGATGGCTCCCCTGCTTTGGTAGCCCGACGACCTTCACTTGAAATTGAGCACATCATCGTAGAACACTTTTAACTAGGATCGATACCGCACTCTCTCGGTCCCTACGCAGGCTGATCAAAGTGGTCGATCACCCGCTTACTGACCGAAACCAGTGTTGCTTCGGTATTGCACTGAAAACCGTGTCTTTACTATCAATCCAGTGAATGAAAAATATACGAAGAAAAACGTTTTTAAATATTGTTACCAAACCACAATGTTACTTAATTTTCGTTTTCAGAAAAATAAAGTAATTGCAATGAAACAATCACCAAATTAGTGGATCGATTCATATAAGCGAGTTTTATTTTATAACCCTCATTGAACAGCAGAGCCAATTCTAAGTTTATGACTACTAATGTTCAACGCCGTAGCCTTATAATTTTGAACCCACTCCAGAAGGTAAGGGAACTCCTGGATTAACTATTGGGGGAAATTTGGAAAAAAAAAATAACCCGCATTTACATGAAGAGGAAAACCACGAAAACTTCTCACTCTGTTAGCCTGATTAAATGGGTACTCTAACCCATGATCCTTCTACCACTGAGGATACTTTACGTCCGCGTTTTGGTCTGTGCGAACCAGGTCGCCGTGATTCAAATCTAGGTATCCTCGGTGGGAGACGAGTGCCCTGAGCCACCACAGGTCCTAGAAACAGAAATTCGGATATCGTTGCACATTACATTACTTAAATAAGTTGAGGCTTAAGCTGTATTCCGTTCTGAATATTGGCTAGTTAATAACGGCTTTCGACCCTTACGGGTCACTGATACCATTTTCGTTGGCTGCAAGTGGTCACCTAAGAAAGAGAAAGTCACCCAGACAAACAAAGAGGTTGAATTTTAAATTACAAAGCCTCAGGTGATAGAGTTTCCAATTAGATGACCCGGGTTCAAATCCCAGCCTTGTCTGGGCAATACGAATTCCGCACCCGACTCGAACCTACCACAGTGCTGACGTAAAATATCCTCAGTGATAAACGGATCATAGGTTAGAGGCCAGCAGGCTAAACATGGGAGGTTTTCGTGATTTTCTTCACCCTATAACGCAAATGCGGGTTAGTTCCATCAAAAAGTCCTCCCCATATTCAAATTTCTCCCAATACTTGGTTCTTGAGTAGGGGAGAGTGGGGTCAATTGTAACAGGTTACGATTGTAACAGAGCAAAAATTTCGAGTGTCGGTTTCTAGATTTGGTTTCTAGGTGGCGCACAAGGTGTATTTAATAAATCTACATGTACACCCCTGCTGGCAACCATTTTTATGTACTTTTGAAAGAGTTACATCACAAAAGATATTTTCACGCTACGTAAGTACTTTTTTTGGTATTAGAATATTATATTGTAACAAAGTAATTTTGTTTGAACAAATAAAAGTTATTAACCGAATATGTAAGTGGACACCTTAATTAACATTTCAATAAAAAAAATTTGTTTAGTTAATTAACTAGCATTTTTTTTTAACAAATGAAGCTGAAATGGCGTCTTGGGGACAATTGTAACAATAAGTAAAGGGACGATTGTAACAGCTGAAAATAAATAATCTTATGTTTACAAACCATTACTTAACTCTTTAAGAACCACCAATAGTTTCCTATATCATTTATATTATGTTGCATGTGCATTATTTTATTTGTCACCTTTCACAGCATAAATTAAAATTTTTAACCCCTTAAAGTTAAAAGTTTAACCCTTTAGGTCTCTGCTCATTATTATTTTTACTCCTAAAATATCACTACTATTTTGATCAATAAAAAAATATATCACAACTATGATAATATGTATAATTAACTATGTTTTAGTTGAATTTATGAACTGTTACAATTGACCCCGTAAGTGGGGACAATTGTAACAAGTGCACGACTGTCAAAAATTGTTAATAACTAATATAATAACATTTAAAATAAGGTATTTATTTTTTCTAGTAGAGGATAGTCTACTTTACTCGTCTGTCAATTAATACTAATAATATATTGGATTTTTTGTTAGTTAAAAATAGTTAAGTAAAAAATGTTACAATTGACCCCACTCTCCCCTCAAAACTACGCTCTTGTCTTCCGGTTTGGGTTCAAAATTTCAAGGCTACGGAGTTGAACATTAGAAGTCGTAAACCCAAAAGATGGTCAGCTATTCAACGACGATTATAAAATAAAATAAGAATTACGAAATTAATCACTCAATTTATCATACGAGTATGCTTGTAAAATCTGTGGAATCGAAAGTCCTGTGGTCGGTCAATGAGCAGTACCATGGGTACAGGAATCTGGAGAAAATTTCCTTCCTCTTCAGATCTATGTCTAAAATGAGCAAGTGACCTCACAACATTGTGATGGCATGTCTTCGGATCATCTCAGGGATTTTTCCCAGACCGTCGGCAATAGCTCATTGTGCAGCTCTAGTGCGACGTTAATAAAGTACCTACCTTACCCTGCAAGTTGCTCGCAATGAAATTTAAAAACTGTCCGTTTTATAAATGAAAATAGCAGCGAGGTTTCATAAAGATAAAATAAAAAAGAATATACTGGCTTAAAGTTTACCTCTTGGAAAATGGGGAGCGTTTTTCTCTATTTCCTCAGGGTATCTGTCCAAGATGCTGTCTACAATCTTTTTCTTGTCTGCAGGAAGGACATGCACGTAATCCTTGATTTTAGGAATGTTTTCTAAATTCCAAAACACATATTTGTCCCGCAATCCAGGACACACAAAATCCTGAAATAAACATTTTATTATTATTTGGATTGTTAAACGCAGTAAAGCCTCGTGTTTATTCTTTAAGCAGCCAAATAAACAACGATACGTTGCATCTGAACAAAACAAAACGTGTTAAAAATATTAGGTCCATTAAGTTGTTCTTGCGAATGCCACTTACCAATACCTGCTATGGGATTCCAAGCGATTTTTAAGGCAGAGGGTGTGGTTCTTGTTTTTCAGGGTCGTCATCTATAGCCAAGAATACGACTTTAGCCACACACATCACAGCCCGTTTTACAGAGAGAACCCATTCATGAACCAGAGAACGATCGGTCTCCAATTCAGTACTCACAGAGGTATCGATTTGTAAATGGAAACTTGGAGGACTTTGTGATCCCGACAGATTTAAAGTGCACCCATCACCATTTATAACAGAAGGATTCTTCAGCTTTTGGGATTCAAACTCACGAACACGAGCCCAGCGTCCTACCCACTAGGCTGTCTCGACTCGTACGTCTATAACGCGTTGTAACTTATCATTGACCTTTTAATTTTTTTAACGTGTTTTTTTTCTCTCAGAGAATAGGCTTGTTAGTATCGGCCGTGATATAATAGAAACTTATTGAGAAATTAAGAAAATAACAATAAATAATTAATTAAAAATGAGAATATACAGTGTACTCTCTTTAGTACGATCCCCACTACAGTGTCCCTTCCATTTTAACGATGTCCCGATGTAGAACATCCTCACTGAATTGTTCTTTACAATATAGTGATTGAAATTTAGTCATTTGATTTAGAAAAAGGTTATGGAGGTTCACACAAGGGTCAACCCATTATATTTACACTCCAAAAAATATAAATACTTATAATTTTTGCTCCGCCCCTGCTTGATTCACTTATGAACCCTTGTGAATGCTTCCGATTCGTCATAAGTTTATTTCTTAACTGTCGATGTTTTATTTATTTTTTTTAAAACAAAGATTATTTTGTAAATAAAACATACGATTATTATAATTTTATATAAGATGCAAAAATGTCAAGCAATGGAAAAATAGTTCATATTTAATGCAAAAAAAGTAGAAAAAATTCGGTAATGAAGCATTTATATTGCAACAACTCTCAGATTGAGAATTTTGAAAAATAAATAAATAAAAATCAAATCTTAAAAAAAAAAAACTAGTTTTAAGTTCACAAATAAATTTCTCATATTTTAACTCTACCTTTCTGCATTTCTGGGGTCTGTAGAGCAGCGCGCATAGTATTTTTGTGAAACAAGATTAACAGTTGACAATTCTTCGAACTAATTATCGAATGCTAACACAATGTTGATCGATGACACATTAACTCATCTCTTTCATTATCTGTTTAAATTTACAAAATACAGGATGGCATAGAAGATTGCAAAAGCTTTGCTCATTGGGTAACACTTTGATTTCATTAAATACAAATAGAATTTATAAGAGTATATTTGAAAAATTTTACTTTATTCAATTACAAAATAATCGCCGGTGACCTATGACATAGTTTCTGTATAAAATTATCGGTCAACAGAGTGTTATTATTTTTTTTAAATTCCATCTTACTCTGGGTGCATTTGTTACACATCTTTGTCATTTCCAGTTTGTCATTTTTATAGTTTTTTCTCAGCGAAACAAAATGCTTCGTTCATTTCGGGCACAAAACAGAAATAGTTTTTTACGATATTTTAATACAGATAGATTTGCGTAACATACTTGAGTCGCGTTATGGTATTTGCCCATTAATATTCCCCATTGGTATAAGATATCATTAGAGCAGTTGATAGTTGAGAGGGGGACTCCTGGCAGAAAAGTTAAGACGTGTATTCCACAGCACTTTTCACTTTTTTCATTTTCATCTGAAAGAAAAGAGAGAACGCCTTGAAGTAACATTTTATTGAAACTGAAGAAAATAAATTGAAGACAAAATTAGAAGAAAATCTTGTTGCTTTTAATGAAACAAATTCTTTTTTTTGTTGAAGATTTGGAGGAATAATTTATAGTTCTATACACCAACAAAAAGTTTTTAATCAAATACCACAACACTACGTTTTTTTATCCCGCCCTAATAAGTTTTTAATCTTAAAAAAATCAAATTGTTTTCCAAATGGAAGGGTTGATAAATATCGCCAAGATCGCAAAAAATTTTGGATAAAACAAATCGGTTTATTCAAATTATATGTTTAAATTGAAACAATATTTTTTTTTAAAATATTTAAATTTTAAAAAAATAATTAAGTTATAGTCGTAGTGTCTAATGCTACATAATTTATAACATTTATGACTGCCAATTTGTATCACATCCTTTTTAAAAATTTCACTGTGTTGCAAAACTGTAAAATATCAAAATTCAAACTATGCATTATTGAAAATTTTAAAATATGATGAATCATCTTAGAAATGCGCTGTAATAACCTTAATGTGATGCTGTGTTGCACCCTATTATCCACCACGCTTAAACTACTGTAAATGATTCAGTACCTAAAAAAGATGTAATAGTAATTAGTTCTCATTGCCTCACTTTTTTAGAAATTATTCTCTGAGTGACCAATTATGGCACAACATGCCCCTCACTCCTCAGTTATTTTAAATATCTCATTGTAAATTTTGAAAGAGACAAAAATGTGCTTCATCATCTAGCAATTAAAGCCCATCCACTACTAACATTTGAGATGTAGTTGGTTAAGGATTACTCTTTAATCAAGATATCTTTTATTCAAAATTACCATTGTACTTATAAATACTTGTATTCGTTGATTATTATGACTTGTAAACGTTGTTTAACATTAGTCGTAATAATGTGTTTACAATTGCAACACATAATGTATAACGGCTAATTGCAAGCGTTTTTTTTTTTTTTTTTAATTTTCATAACCGTTGTTGAACAGCCGACCCAATTTTGGGTTTACGACTACTAATGTTCAAATCCTTAGCCTTGTTATTTTGGATATTCGTGAAGTTATTCGTGAAGGATTTTTTTGATGGAACTAACCCGCATTTGCGTTACATGGAGAAGATAAACACGAAAACCTCTCACGGTTAGTCTAACAGCAAGGGGACTCTAACCCTTAATCCGTCTACCATTGAGGATATTTTACGTCAGCGCTGTAGTCGGTGCGAGCCGTGTGCGGAATTCGTATCGATCAGCCATCGCTGGAATTCGAACCCGGTTCACCACATTGGGAGGCGAGCTCTCTATTCCCTGAGCCGCCATGGCTATTACATTCGTTATCAGAGCTCACGTTAAGAACATTAAATTATTAGCCAGTAAATTAGCCAAATATCAAAAATATTGGCCAAAGGCAAATCTTATACAATTTTTATGATTGATTTTTCCATGTAAGAAACTTCAAATCCAAATACAAATTAACTATAAATTGAATTATTGTCTTAAAATGCAGATTCAGATCAAGAGTCATTTTGCAATTGGGGATGAGAAAAAGGAAGAGAGGGTGAAAAATATCTCTGAGGAAAAGAAATAGGTTGGGGTTAATTTTTGCTTACTTCTTAGATTAGAGCAGTAACAAGAAAAAACTTAAGGCAGCATTATCGCGAGAAAACATATCTGCAAAAGTATTTGGATGATGCCACATAATCTGTTTTATCGAGACAACTGTAGGAAAGAATTTGTCACGTGATATCGCGTGTTTTACGGTAGCTTGTCTCACGCTTGCTTATAATGCTTCTTATCACTTACATTATCTGGACCGACAGGCTTAGGGATCAGGGAATTGGCCTTGCATCGGAAAGTTACCGGGTTCGAATCCCGGGCAAGGCATGGATGTTCTTTCATTCTCTGCTGTCTTTACTGTGGGAGCAACGTTGGCCCACCTCATAGGGTGCCCCTGAAAGGGTGGCCAACAAATCTGTTCTGTAAATGCCTGAATTGAAGAAAAGTTAACACAGGAGGGCATTAGAATTAAAAAAGAAAAACTTACATTATCTGAACTTAATTCTAATTGGTTATGCGACGTATCTAACGGAACTAAAACTGTAATCGAATAAAAAATACAGGGTTTGCTCATAAAATTCTCTTTCACAGTTTTTATTTCAGGATTGAGGGAAATATATATTTTTCTATTCGGTAGAAAAAATCATTTGCCAAATCAAAATTACTTTCGCCGAATTTACGATTTCATCGCATTTTGCGAGGTGGCGAATACTTAGCGTGGACCCTGGTTATTTAAAAATAAAATCAGTAATTATGTTTACTGATTACAAGTAATTGATTGCCTGTAATAAGAAAATGTATCACATGGCTTACCTTCATTTAGAAGTGGCACTTTCTCTAAGCTCCAAGTATTACCACTAAGATTCTTCAATGGAATGGGTACACGCAATCCTTTACTGTGCAGATGGAGCATTGTAGCATGCATTGCATCTGTTGGAACAAAAAATCATCAATGTAGAATTAAACAAAATCTATAATGAAATTGTAAACTGTTTCTTTTTTTAAGTATGTGCACAATATACACAGCACAAATGATATTCGAAAAAGTATTTAATGTGTCACTTTTGTACACTATTATTTGTTCTAAAACGTTCTAAAAGTATCTGAAAAGTTGGTTATTGACTCTCTGAAATGTCAAAGTATCCAATTCGCTGCGACCCTAATTGAAACGTTTTATTTATGTTTCTGAAAGATCTTGTAAACATTTCAGAAATGTTTGAAGTGCCATGATATAGAAATATCATCGCCATACACAACCTATCAGAATAACAATAATCTTTTCTTATCATGATTAGCAGAAATTGAAAACATAGTCTTTTCTGAAAAGCGAATTTTTTTTTTTGAACTTTAAGTATAATCTTATATTTTTAATAATAATTTGAACCTTGCTCATGTACTTGAAAAAACGTGTGCTGAATAAACTAGTATTTTTAAAATTTTTGCTATTCAGCTACATTTTGAACAATTANTGTGCGTGTGTAAACTTCGTACGTTAAAAAGAGACATTTTTTACTGAAAACTGTTACAACTTATCAAGACCTTTTCTCATGGGGTTGTTGCTTCAAGTATTGCTAATATATAAAATCAATTTATGACATCAATCAATCAAGGGAGCAAAAGACAGAATAAAATTATATTGGAAAATGTATATTAGATTTTTGTTGAATTTAAAAACTCGTAACGTATAATTAGCAGACCAATGTTTATCTTAACAGAGTCATTTGAAATTGTGTTAACAAGCAATTATGTTTTATATGATATTGCGATTGAAGAGCTAGGGATGCAATATAGTGATAAACCATATCTTTTTCTTATAAAATTGCTCCTAGGTAAAGTTTTTATGATATGTATTTAACATGTTGACTAAATTTTAACTGGATATCCGCACAAAACTCAAAAACATCTTATTTCTCAAATAAAAATCATGTTTTTTTTTTTTTTTTTTTTTTTTTTTTTTTTTTTTTTACACGAAATGCTATTTTTATAAACCTTTTCTTGAATAATATGAAAATGTGGCTTATTATTATGTCAACCCAAAAGCTTTTAGCAAGAGTAAATCACAACACAGTAGTCTAAGCAGAAGGAATCAGTCTGGAGAAAGTAAAGACTGTATAAAATAGTAAATAAATAGCTAATTACTTTTTAATAAAAATTACTATGTTTATGTGGGTAAAAAAAGTAAAACTCCTGCGTTGGCCGGGAGTCGAACCCGGGTCAACTGCTTGGAAGGCAGCTATGCTAACCGTTATACCACCAACGCTTATTATCGGAGATTTTATTTTCCTTATACAAAGACAGATGCGAACAAATATTAGGTTAAAACGTGCTTAAAATTCGTTTCGCTTTCACGATAAAATAAAGAAATAAAAATCAATTGGCAAGTAAATAAAAATAAGTAATTATTAATCGTCTGAAAGACGATGGATAGGGCATTTGAGATACAACTTATTATTTCCTTTGATGTGATAAAGTAAAACACTGCCTGTTTAAAAGTAAAATCAAAATTGAAAATGCTTTTCAAACTGTTATCAATGATTAGATGATTCTCCAGAAAGATTTAAGTAAACATGATCTATGAAGAACTTCTTTTAAAAAAAAATTGGTAGTAAAACTAAATTAATCAACACTGGCTTCATTACTACGTAACACTTTAGTAACACATCTTACATATGAAGTAATAATATTTTTATTAATTTAATTAAACAGAGGAAAAAATTCACATATTTTATAAGGAGCAGAAGTTGTAAAATCTTTTAAAAAAATCGTGTTTTGAATAAACCTAGTTAGGCTTAGTAATATCGTAGATTATTAAGCCTAACTAGGTTACTTTTTTTAAAGCTTATTCTTTAGAAATATTAATAATAGAATATAAATTAATCTCTTAAAATAAAATAACATATAGACAGGTAAAGGTAACTCGGAATATTATTCTGAAAAATATTTAAAATATTGCGCTAAATATATTTTTTGAAATTCTAAGAATTATTTTTACGTTTGAGTATTTGCGATCGCAACGCTCAAGTACGCCATCTAGCGGGAGCCTGTAATTATCAGACATTAATTTATCACGTTTTCATTTAGTNTTTTTAATAGTTTTTTGAATATGGCTCTTTGAAGACGAAAAAGCAGACGAAAAGCATAGGCTTACAAAATGACGGATAACTAAATAACTAATCAAAATTTTTGAAAAAGAAAAAAAATACTTCTTCATTATGTCAAAACACAATTATGTGCCGAGTTTCGTGCCTTGGCGAGGCTTCTGGGGCGATATATTGTGATTACAGACAGATAGACACACACACAGCCGCGTTTATTATTATGTATAGATGTATAGATAAACTTCGTACGGAAAAAGAAGACATTTTTTTACTGAAAACTGTTACAACTTATCAAGACCTTTTCTCATTGGGAAGTTGCTTCAAGTATTGCTAATATATCAAATCAATTTATGACATCAATCAATCAAGGGAGCAAAAGACAGAATAAAATTATATTGGAAAATGTATATTAGATTTTTGTTGCATTTAAAAACTCGTAACGTATAATTAGCAAACCAATGTTTATCTTAACACCAGAGTAATTTGAAACTGTGTTGACAAGCAATTATGTTTTATATGATATTGCGATTGAAGAGCAAGGGGTGCAATATAGTGATAAACCATATTTTTTCTTATAAAATTGTTTCTAGGTAAAGTTTTTATGATATGTATTTAACAAGTTGCCTAAATTTTAACTGGATATCCGCACAAAAATCAAAAACATCTTATTTCTCATATAAAAATCATGTTTTTTTTAATTTTTTTTTTTTTACACGAAATGCTAATTTATAAACCTTTTCCTGAATAATATGAAAATGTGGCTTATTATGTCAACCCAAAAACTTTTAACAAGAGTAAATCCCAACACAGTAGTCTAAGCAGAAGGAATCAGTCTGGAAAAAATAAAGACTGTATAAAGAATAGTAAATGAATAGCTAATTACTTTTTAATAAAAATTACTATGTTTACGTGGGGGGAAAAAATGAAACAACTGCGTTGGCCGGGAGTCGAACCCGGGTCAACTGCTTGGAAGGCAGCTATGCTAACCGTTATACCACCAACGCTTATTATCAAAGATTTTATTTTCCTTATCAAAAGACAAATGCAAACAAATACTAGGTTAAAACAGGTGAATAAAGAATCAACGCAGTGGCGAAACCTGTTTAAAATTCGTTTCGCTTTCACGATAAAATAGAGAAAAAAATCAATTGGTAAATGTAATAAAATGTAAATAAAAATAAGTAATTAATAATCGTCTGAAAGCCGAAGAATAGGGCATTTGAGATACAACTTATTATTTCTTTTGATGTAATAAAGTAAAACACTGCCTGTTTAAAAATAAAATCAAAATTAAAAATGCTTTTCAAACTGTTATCAATGATAAGATGATTCTTCAGAAAGATTTAAGTGAACATGATTTATGAAGGACTTCTTTTAAAAAAAATTGGTAGTAAAATTAAATTAATCAACACAGGCTTCATTATTACGAAAAACACTTTAGTAACACATCTTACATATGGAGCAATAATTTTTTTAATAGATAAACAGAGGAAAAAGTTTACATATTTTATAGGGGGCAGAAGTTGTAAAATCTCATAAACAAAATTGTGTTTTGAATAAACCTAGTTAGGCTTAGTATTATCGTAGATTATTATTAAGCCTAACTAGGTTATTTTTTTTTAAAAAACTTATTCTTTAGAAATATTAATATTAATATTAGAATATAAATTAATCTCTTAAAATAAAATAACATATAAATAAGCAAATGTAACTCGGAATATTATTCTCAAAAATATGTAAAATATTGTGCTAAATATATTTTTTGAAATTCTAAGAATTATTTTTACGTTTGAGTATTAGAATTTTTCACAAAACAGTTTCAATAATTTTTTTAATGCTCAAAACCTTTGGCATACAATATAAAATATAAATTTAAAAAAAAAAACGTTAACAAATTATGCTTTATTTGAAATTTTTTTAAAATTAAAAATGGTACAAGATATAAAAAAAATTCCAGTATTTTATTATTTTTCATCAAATGCATTAAAATAATGTTTGCTTTATTTATTTTTTTCAGCCAGGTACTGAAGTAAACACGTTAGTTCATAATAGAATAAAGCTTATAAGTCGAACTTTTGAACTATTTTTTAGCTATGTATAAGTTCAATATCGCATTGACGCATCACGATTACAAAAGAAATATTATAATTAGTTCAAATAAAAAATTATGAACATCAAAAAACAAAGTATAATTTTTATTCGAATCTCAAAGTAAGTGCACTTCCCTGCCTCCTTGCGGTTGCAATTGCATATTAAAGGGGGTGGGGGCAGAAGTGACAACCAATGAAAATAATTTTTATTTTAAGCTGATTTCGATGCAAAATCTTTAATTTTTAGTCTGAAAATTTAACATATTTCATCTTCATGTGAAAGATGAGGAGTCCGTCTTCCGAACTGTTCATTCTTATTTTATTCGATATGTGGATTTCATATCGTCAATTTATTAAAAATGAGGAGCAGAATGTTTTGATGGATTGTGAAAATATGAAAAGTCCAAGAAAATATATAAAAGACGCTTCTAATAAACTTAATATTTGGTAACAAATGCTCAGAAAGCAAAACACAACAAATAACTGCTGATCTAATCATTGGATTTTCATGTTCGGAGATACTATCTAAATAATAGGTCGCGGGTCTAGCGCGAGATTCGTTAATTAGTTAGTGCAAACGATGCTTTAAGTTGTAAAATCAGACATTTTCTTCTGAATAAGCAAATTTTTTTCTCCGGAGGATTTGGAATTTCGGACGCAGTTTTTTATTTCTGATGAACTATTCAACCGATTGTTTTTAAGTTTTGGAATTAATCATTCAAAATTCCGTAGATTAAATTGTTTTAAGAATCTGTATACTTTATAAATAAATTTTTGGACCATTAATAAATTAAATAATAAAAAAAACAATAAATAATGAAAAAAAAATAATTAGAAGAAGAACTTTTTACATGAAATTTTCTTTAGATAAACATGTTTTATAAGTGCGTGTAAAAAATCTTTTATCCGCTTCACTTGTTCCGGATATAAGGTAAAAAAAAAAAAAAAATTAAATTTCCAAAGAGATCTAAGCGTTTTACCGCCCATTTGCTTAAACTATTGAGACTGAAACCATATTTTCCAGATTGCGACTACCTTCCTTATTTTGAGGTCGAAAATTCAAATCTTGAAAAAAAAAGCAATAAATAAATAAATAAAGTTTGCTTAGTCAGAGAACGTACGTTTTTGCATCTGATTTCATAATTTAAAATATCGTCTGCACTAATTAATTATCACAATTGAGATTAGAAGATTGAGCTCTAGTACGTGAAATTATTAAATCAAAAGTTATTCAGGGAATCCTTTTTTTATTTTGCTTATGGTATATTCATGCTCCGTAAAATAATAATAAATAAAAAAAAATCATTAAGTTTTTTATGGGTAACAGCAAAATGTTTTATTAAGCCTATAGTGTTTAAAAATGATAAAAATTATGTTAATAAACTCATAAATAAACTTACCGAAATGACCTGCTATTGCACTTTTTTCAGTATTGGTAATTTTCAACGTGTAGCCATCTTCACAGACAGATTTAATGTAATTATTAGTATGTGCCTGTGATACCTGAAAAAGAAAATTAAAAGAGTTATCAAAATAAAATTCTTTATCACAAGACTTACGATATTTGCGTACAACTTAATATTTGTGATTATTCTAAGTATATTAAAATTAACTTTTTTTAATTGGAAAGTTATGAAAATATTTCGCATTCAATTATAAAGCTCGTTTGTTCAAAAGTATTTTTAGAGTTTATTATTATTTAATTTAATAAATTTTCAAGTCAAAAACATAAAATAACTTAAAAGAAGTAATTTTATGATCAGATCATAGGATTTCTTAGTTTCGTTTATTTAATTTCATTTTTAAAAGATATTTTTATTGTCAGATCATATGATTTCTTAAATTATATTTTTGTTTTTAAATAGGTAATTTTATTGTCAGATCAAGCGACTTTTTAGATAGTTTGTTCTCTTGTTTTTAAAACAGTAATTTTATTATCAGAACAAACGGTTTCTCGTAGGGTCCGTTTATTTATTTATTTTTAATAGATATTTTTATTATCAGATCATACGATTTCTTGAATTTGAATTACCTGTTTATTTATTTTATTTTTAATAGATATTTTTATAATCAGATCATACGATTTCTTGAATTATCTGTTTATTTTTTTTTTATTTTCAAAAAGAGAGGATTTTATTATCAGATCAAACGGTTTCTTGGGTAGTTAATTTAATATTTTTTTAATCATTTATTTTCTTATTTATTTATTTTTCTTGTTTCTTATTTATTTATTTTGCTTATTTAAAAACTTTTTTTACTAGTTTATTTTAGTTCTTTTCTTTTATTCTTTTTTTAATGAATTTTTGAATTCATTTATAATTTTTAGCTTACCTGAATATGAAAATTTTGATCGTCATAACTATTCATTCTCTTCATCGTCAATACTTCTAACCCATAGAGTTTTTGAACTAATTTTTCAGCAAAATCTTCCGATACATTTGGTTTTGAGAGTTCCATTCTTAAGTAGGATATATTCTGAAATAAAACATATCACTAAAGCACCTAAAATAAAAGATATTTTTTTAAGAAATGATATAAACTTTTTCCATACTTCAATATTTTTTCTTACTTTATTTTAAGCAAATTTTCCCTGTTATATTGTCAGAGCACTCTCTGAAATGAGGTCTTCTAAACTTTTCAGCCACGAAGCACTTTTGAAACTAAAAATTCCACGCAAAGTATTAAAATTTATACCGCAGCTGTATTTAGTAAATTGCAAAATAGTATTTACGATGCACGATCGTTTCGTCATTTGAGTTTGAAGGACATTAGATTTCATTATCTAAAAATTTTCTAATAATAATAATAAAATAAATAAATAAAAAATAATAAAATAAATAAATGAAAAATAATGAAATAAATAATTAAGAAAATAATAAATGGACTATCTAAAAAGCCGTTTAATTTGATAATCGAATAACCTTTTAAAAAATAAATAAATATCCGGACCATACAAGAAACCGTTTGTTTTGATAATAAAATTACTTTTTTAGAGCAAAAAATTAATGAATGAATTACCTAAAAAGTCGTTTGATCTGATAATAAAATTACCTTTTTAAGAATAAAAAACAAATAAATAAATAGACCATAAGATAAACTGTTAGTACTGATAATAAAATTACTTTTTCAAAAATAAAACATTAATGTACGAACTATTTAAAAAGACGTTAGATCTGATAATAAAATTACCTTTCAAAAATAAATAAATAAATGAACCATACGAGAAACCGTTTGTTCTGATAACAAAATTACTTTTTCAAAAACAAAAAATTAATGTACGAACTATTTAAAAAGACGCTAGATCTGATAATAAAATTACCTTTCAAAAATAAATAAATAAATTAACCATACGAGAAACCGTTTGTTCTGATAATAAAATTACTTTTTCAAAAACAAAAAATTAATGTACGAACTATTTAAAAAGACGCTAGATCTGATAATAAAATAACCTTTCAAAAATAAATAAATAAATAAATAATCTGCGAAATCCTAGGATCTGATTATTAAAATATCTTTCAAAAATAAAATTAAACAAATGGACTACTTATGAAACCGTTTGATCTGATAATGAAATTACCTCTTTTAAGTTATTTTACTTTTGAGTTAAGAATTTATTAAATTAAATAATAGCAAATTATAATAATTCTAATAAATTTCTTTTGGGTTTGAAGGACATTAGATCTCTTTCTCTAAAAATTTTAATTTTTGGACAAATTTTCTATTGCAGACAATATAAAAAGATGCATGGAAAAATATGAAACTAAAAATAAATTCAGGGCAAATATTGCAGGTCCATTATTTGTTATTCTATTTTTTTTTTCGCTATATAACATTTGCGAACCTTGTAGTGAGCCAAAGAAAAAAATAGGACAAAATTTTTAAAAAACAATCAGGGCATTTCTTAAAAAAATATATATAATAATAGTAATAATAATCGGTTTTCCGAAATTTTATTTTAGCTTTGAAAGTATTTGCAAATGAAAGAAAGTAGTTGTCAAGCTGCCTTTTCTCGAAATCGATAATGAAGCACTTTTACGCTGTTTTTTCAATTGGGTACTTGCACTTCAAGAAGAAGAAGATCGCTGATACCCAGACATGTGATCTATGACGTCAGCACCAGCTCTTTGTTTTTTTTTAGCAAAATAGTGTCTAAAAGTTGAGCTAAGTTTCTCCACACAAGTTAGAATNGTTAGATCTGATAATTAAATAACCTTTCAAAAATAAATAAATAAATGAACCATACGAGAAACCGTTTGTTCTGATAATAAAATTACTTTTTCAGAAACAAAAAATTAATGTACGAACTATTTAAAAAGAAGTTAGATCTGATAATAAAATAACCTTTCAAAAATAAAATAATAAACGAATAATCTGCGAAATCCTAGGATCTGATTATTAAAATATCTTTCAAAAATTAAATTAAACAAATGGACTACTTATGAAACCGCTTGATCTGATAATGAAATTACCTCTTTTAAGTTATTTGACTTTTGACTTAAAAATTTATTAAATAAAATTATAATGAATTATACTGATTCTAATAAATTTCTTTTGGGTTTGAAGGTCATTAGATCTCCTTCTCTAAAAATTTTAATTTTCGGACTAATTTTCTATTGCATACAATATAAAAAGATGCATGGTAAAATATGAAACTAAAAATAAATTCAAAGCAAATATTGCTGGTCCATTATTTGTTATTCTATTTTTTTTTTCGCTATATAACATTTGCGAACCTCGTAGTGAGCCAAAGAAAAAAATAGGACAAAATTTTTAAGAAACAATCAGGGCATTTCTTAAAAAAAAATATATATAATAATAGTAATAATAATCGGTATTCCGAAATTTTATTTTAGCTTTGAAAGTATGTATTTGCAAATGAAAGAAAGTAGTTGTCAAGCTGCCTTTTCTCGAAATCGATAATGAAGCACTTTTACGCTGTTTTTTCAATTGGGTACTTGCACTTCAAGAAAAAGAAGATCGCTGATACCCAGACATATGACCTATGACGTCAGCACCAGATCTTTGTTTTTTTAGCAAAATAGTGTCTAAAAGTTGAGCTAAGTTTCTCCACACAAGTTCGAATGTTCGAATGTTAGAACGTTAGAATGTTCACAAGTAATTCGAAGTTAACTAAATACAGTGTAGTATCGCACATGAAATTTGTTGAAATAGGATTCTTAGTTAACTTAGTACTCTTTTAGTTAACTTAGATTTATTACTTGTTTCTGTATTATTTTCCAACTGTGGTGCATTTTTGTCTTTGGCAACTTCGATGCATAATTAGTTTGTTTATGTTTTACATGGCCTCGTGCCCGTCTTTCTGTTAAGTAAGATAGTGAAAGAATTGAAATCTTTGCGAAATAATGTTTATGAAAGATTAAAGAATGCGTCACATAAGAGAATTGATACTTGGCGGGCCTGGCTTACTCGAAATGGAATGGAAAGAACAGTTGCTAACGTAAACAAATGTCACGTTTTAACAACCCATCAGGATCGAAATACCCATAGCACGTCACTTGCAAGCAGGGCCGGATTTAAGCTTGACGGGGCCCTAAGCTACTGAAAATGATGGGGCCCTTTTAAGTTCAATTCTATTTCTATACACCTAAAGTAAACTGTCGTATTTTTTATTGCTGAATATTAACATTATATTATTNAAAAAAAAAATCTACAATGTAATTAATTATTCAAAAATGACAAATATTACAAAATAAATTATTAATAATATAATTAATATTCATAATTATAATTAATATTACGAAATGTAATTATTAATATATAATATACATTAATAATTATAATTAATGTTACAAAATATCTTACGAAATAAATCTCAATTTTGGAATTTTTTGTCGTTTACGTTGATTTTTTTATTGCACGGTAATATACAAGACTACATTTAATAAAGGCAAACTATAGAAAGCATAATTTGCTCTACTTTATGGCTTACCCTAGCACGAATAACTAATAGTTTGGAATTTAGTATAGTAACAAATAGTTGCATATAATAATTATTATAGTATTAGCAGTTGTTAGCGGTTTCAATTTCAGAAAAAAATATCGAAAAAGTTTTTTTTTTTCTTTTTCTGTTTTGCTATGTTAATGTCTCGATATGACTATCCTAGATATGACTATCCCTTTCAAGAAAGTGAGTATTGACTTTTAGGTCAAAAAACATGACCTAAAATACGGTGTTTTTTAGGTTTTCTTTATTATTAGGCTTTATGTTATTTTTATTTTGCATGTTTCGCTTATGCAAAAATAATTTCTTACAAAATTAATACCATACGGAAAAAAATCTTAATATTTATTAATTAATAGTTAATTAAACTAATAGTTAATTAACTTTATCATATAGTATAATCTAAATCTAATAATATTCTGTAAGCTACGTATTTAAGTGACAAAATCCAGTATTAGTTGCACGAAATAAAGATATAAAATGTAATTAAATCATTTTGATTTTTTTTCTTCAGAAGTTGGTGAGGGGGTTATTTTTCGGTTCATTAATAATTTGTTATTCATGTAAAAAGAAGAAGAAGAAAAAATAATAATTTAATACAGCGGTCACATAAAATTGTTTTACTTACATAATAAAGAAACTTCACTCCTAATAGCAAGAGATTGAAGAATCGAAGCTGACATCCCTATCTGGATTCGAATAAATTGATAGATAGGCATACATGAAACAAACCTTATCTTTATGTGAGGTCACAACCCTGACCTTGTGTGGGATTACTGAACCTGTTATTTATCATTTCATCACTCATTGAAAACAAAATGTGATTGCACTAATTATATTTGAACAAACCAATTCGCTCTCATATTACAATTTAATTTCTTTTTTTTTACTTCATAGTATTTAAGTTTTATTTATTTATTTGCAGCGTGTTCTCATTTCTGTGATATGAAATGGAAGAGTGATGTAATTGAAGAGTCTATATAATGGGGTGATGTAATCCTCTCCCCTAAAATAGGGTATTCAGATATATGTTTCGGTCTAGTGTCACCCCGAGAGACCCTCCAGGAGCGGAGGTACAGGCAAAGAATATAAATGGGGGAAGAAGGCAGTCCCCCAAGGTCTGAAAAAGGGGATATTTAAGGGCATGCAGCACAAGTTCTTGAAACTGGGTTTTCCACTTTCCTCTCCTCCCAGCCACTGCTGAGCTTGCGGGAAAAAAAAAGTTTTCTCTTTTTCTTTATTATTGGTTTGTTCTGCATTTTTTACACTATTGATAAACGGTACTGTACTGTTAATCAAGGTATTCTTTTGAGAAACCATTTATATCACCCATGTTGATTAAATCTGCTAACATATTTTGACATAGTAAAAAAAAAAAAATGGCGGAAGGCAGCGTACCCAATCATACACATAGAATTGCCCAACAACAAGTGACGCATAGTATGGCTTTTAGGAGAACTCCTTCATACACTCGTCTCGCGTCGTGGCGGTTACTATGGTTACGAGGTAAAGTCACTTCGAATAGGGGCGTGGGATGAATGGGGTTAATCTTGACCATAGATATAAAAGCAGTCCCCCATCTTGGCATAGGTTGGAAGAGTGGAGTGCATAGTGGAAAATGCTAAGCAATGAAATGCTAAGCAAATGAAAAAGTCATCTTTGAACTAACAAGAATTTTTATTAAACAAGAAAAATTGTAACTAAACTTAAACATCATAAAAGAAAACAATCCTCGAGAGTATTCTACTCTCCATAACATGAGGTAACTAAATTTACTCCATACAGTCATGAAAATCACAAAATCTATTCTTAATTTGTCTTATATATAGAAGCATATTTATCATCCAATCAAGAAAATAACATTTGCATAATGAGGTAAAAAACGTAATACGCCTAAAATTATTAATATGTAAATTTTGTCTTTAAATTATTTTTAAATGTTCGAACTGTCTGTTTCAGCGGTTTTTCTTGTGATTTTTAACTCGCCGTTCTTGTTACTCGAACCTTGCTCTTTGAAATTCGTAGTCTGACAATCTTGGCCATAGATATAAAAGCAGTCCCTCATCTTGGCTTAGGTTGGCGTGAATAGACCAATCGACTCCTTCGTTTCTCCATTTCACCTCCATTAGAGACGTGCTCTCGCTTGTTACCATAGCAGACATTCCCAAACGTTTAGTCTGGAGGAGCTCTCCTCAAAACCGCAGTATACCTACTGACCGTCACTTTGCTTCGTATGAGCTGGATCTTAGTACATATGGTGCTTTGATAAATCTGAGTATGTTGCTCACTCTGTAAGTTGTTTTTGCAGAATAGCATACTGAACGGTGCAGTTCTCCGTGTTAGTTACTTATTCTAAGAGCTGGATTTCTACTATATTCTTTGGTACAGACTCTAAGCGGGACGGCTGAGGTCCCCTCAGAATAATGATAAACCATATATTCAAATTGATATGGAGAGTGGTCATGAGAGTTGTGGGGAGAATAGTTATCGGCCATGTCAACCGTCATCTATGAAAAGGTACCCCGACATAGAGTCGAGTTAACATGTCTTATATACTAGTGAATTGTAGTTGTAATTTTGTAGTGGTAGATACGCTACAAGAGTGCAACAATTACTTCATGTTTATTAAGACTAGATGTATTTCCATGTAAACAACTTCACAGTAACTAACTCGTAATTACGTATAACCTCCAGGTAAGACCACCTCTGTGCAGCGACCACCTCTATTTCCGACCGCTTTTGGGAGGCACGGAATTTTTTCTTAGAATTCCTGTTAAAGAAAACCCTTAAGAGTGACCATTAAAACCTCTACCCGCGACCGGACAAACATCTGCACCCAATGTGGATAAGGTCAAATAGGGAAATAGGAAAAAAATATTAAAACAAAGAATGTAGCAAAACGAATAAGTAGATTAAAATCTATTCAAAATATCTGCGTGAGACTCTCATTTAGAAAGCCCCTTTTGACAATGCAACCTCATGTTGCAGTCAGAAAGCACTGAAGACGATGCTATCAATGATTTACTTTTAGAGTTGAAAGTTATATTAGAAAAAAACAAACAAACAAGCACCTCAAACCTCTTTCCATCTTTTAAAGCTAACTCATTTTTATTATCGAAAATTAAATGCAAACCTAAAGAAAAAACATAATTGTTTATTTATTTAAACTAGCTTCATCATTCATAATGGGTAAATTGGTTTTTACACAATACAGTCAATTCGCTATAACTCGAAGTACGATAACTCGAATATTAATATAACTCGATTTTTTTATGAAGACCCGACCCTTTTATCTCCAATTTCATGTTCATTATTCTCGATTACTCGAATTTTACTCCCTTTAACTCGATTTTTTTGGATCTTTTAAAGCAAAAAGTAAAACCTAGGAGCTGATATCTTGCCTCTTCCTTTGCGACACACACACAATGTCTTTCGCACTCTTCATGGAGAAGCTAAAGCTGTCCCTCTTGAAGTATGTGAACAGTGGTTAAATGAAACGTTACCAAATTTACTTCAAGGATACAGTGAAAATGATGTTTTCAATATTGATGAAATGGGTTTATTTTTCTTCCAAATAAGACTATGTTTAAGGATGAAAACTGCTCGGGGGGTAAAATGAGCAAGGATCGTTTGACTGTCCTAGTTGGAAGAAAAAACCGAAATCCCCGATGTTTCAATAATGTAAAAACGTATTCTTTGGATTAGAAGTCTAACAAAAAGTTTTGGATGACATCAGTTTTATTTGAAGACTATGTAAGAAAATTGGATCGGAAATTCTTCGCTAAAAAAAGAAAAGTGATACTTTTTATGGATAAATGCGCAACGCATAGTTATCTACCTAAATTGTAAGCAGTAAACTAGTCCCGCCAAACACAACTGCAAAGTTGCAGCCGATGGACCAGGGTATCATAAAGTGCTTCAAACAGTCTTATCGTAACTGGCTTGTCAGAAAAATGATCTTAAATATTGTAAGCATTTAGAAGATTTGTCATTAATAAGCATTAATTAAATAATCCGACAATATTTTAGAAGTCCAAAACCGAAACTAAAGGTAAGTCGAACTTCCGATATGTCAAAGTTTTTCTTCAGTCCTATCACATTCGAGTTATCGCGAATTCACTGTATTATGTCAGTTGGGATCATTTTTATGGAAGCTAAATTTGATTCATCGATCCATCTTCTCATGACGCCAACACAAGTGGTACCAAAAAATGACACTGACTAAAAATAAAATCGTATGCGAAAAATCTTGTCCCTTTGATAACAATTCTGAAGTTCATGGCGGTAACCACCAAGAACGACCCATCTCCATTAATGACCATTTTACTGTGGAATGGTCGCTCCCGTGTGGTTTCACTGTATATTTTTTATTCAGAGACGTTAAAAATATGGAATTTTCTCATTGGTTGAACGGAAACCATTGTTTTAAAGTAAACTACAAACAATTCAGTTTCGTCAATTATTTTAAAGTTAACATCAATGATGTTTTCTAGCTCTTAGCTCTACTAAAAAAAAGTTCGTTTCGTGAGGGTTCTGTTTTACTTAATCATTTTTTGTTCTCGATTTTAGTTTATCTGAATGTTCAACGTAAACGTGATAGCATAAGCGATAAGAATAATAGTTTCCTAGGTTTTCTGAAACCACGTGTTAGTTTTATTTATAGTTACGCTGTGGAGAGAGAATGTTTTCGACAAAGTCAACCTTCCATCAAAAGGGACCCTAAGATCGAATCAAGTTAACTTTTCTTATATACTAGGGAATTGGTATTTAATAATCTTAGTGGTAGTTTTGCCACATGACTCACCCGCCAGAATTTTATCTGTGATAGAATTCGATAAACGAATACCGCTAGTTGTTTAATACTGTTTATTCATTTAATTATTTTTTTTCTCTCACTATACTATTATTTCTCTTTCTTTTCTTTCTTTCTTTACGTTTTTTTTATTATTGGCAGGGATAACTATATTTTCTACACCGGATTTTTGAGCGCTGTTTTGTGAGCAAACCAACTGTTCAATGTGGTACTTCCATCGATGTTTGGGGAACTCCTATCACTTATTAATGAGTATTTTATATTTTATTAATATTGGCTCTTGGTATTTCCGGCAAAATTAAATTCCTAGTGCACTTTAGCATCCAAATAGAGTCTCGGTGCTGCCATCTAGTGTGGCAGAAACTAGACGTCCAAATTAACATGACCAACCCATTGTGAGAGTGGATACCACCTCTGGAGAACGCACTAGGTCTGCTTATCGGCAAGAAAGATTGTGCAGCTCATTGGAAATAAAAATAAAAAAAAATTTTTTTATTAATGTGTAATAATGATAATAACATATCTTTAAGCGAACTTTTTTTCAAATTTTAAAACGAAATTTTTGCATTTGATTTCAAATTGCTCCAAAAATTTTGTTTCATTTTACTGAATAATTTTAAATATTCAGTTGATATAAGTATCAGTTCATATAATAATTTGCCTTTTATATATATAAAAAAAACTTAACACAAAAAATTGGTTTTTATAAAAATGATCATATTTCTATAAATATTTAAGCTAGACTTACGAAATTTAATTATGTGATTGTTAATAAAAACCGAAGTAATCGATACAAGTTACAAATTTAGTGCTTGATTTTTCTGGCATAGGGAATTCCAAGAACTTTTTTTTGTTACTATTTATTGTCAGTCCCTGTATGAATTAAACAATTCTAAAGTTACAAAATAATCCTTTGAATATTTCTTGAGAAATTAAAAAAATTATCACAAACTGGAAGTGTCTCTTCCATTATTGTAGGGAAGTGTTAATGAGGGATGTCCCATCAGCGTCAAAGGGTTAAACCCAATTCTTAAACAAGTGGATATTAGGATGGTAGAATGAGAAGAGTTCCCTTCGCTAACATTAACTTAGTAGATGATAGAGAAGTTTAATGGAGAGGAATTTGTTGCAGTTTATAATATTTTACGTTACTCAGCAGTTATTACATTCTTTTACGGTTTAAAAGTTTTTTAAACTACATCAGTTAAAAATTTTAGAAAAAAAGAACCTATATGTTAAAACTATTCATGAAAACAGTGGCGAGAGAATTTTTTTTTAATTTGTCTAATAAGTATAGAACTGAAATTTCACCCTCTGCTGTAATCACAATTTAAACAACTAGTTTTAATCAAGAAAATTTTTTTTCTAACTTCGATTTGCAAAATTTATCTTAAAATATTCTTCAAATTAAACATGAGTGCGAAAATATGTTATGAAATATTTCGCATTATGAAATATTTTGCACGTGCATGTTAATTTTCTCTTATCTGACTTTTTTAGGACAAAAATAAAAATACTGATGTCATATGGCACGAGTGAAATTATTAAGCTTTATATGAAAAATTATAACTCACAATAATTATATTAATATATAATGCATAAACATTATTGAAAACTAGATTCATTTTTTTGTTTTGTTTGCGTGGAAGAATTAACATGTACCAGACATCGAAAATTTTATTTAAATATTATCTTCTGCTTAAAACTTTGAAAAAAGTTTTTCAGCGAAAAAAATATTAATATTTCAAATCAATGTTTAGTTATTAAAGCAATTCATATTAGGAATAAATGAAACTGAACACATAAATTTAAATCTAGTAAAATGTTTAAAAAAAACTTCTTTTAATTAATATTTTTAAAGAGAATTTTGTATATTTCAGTACACATAGACAAAATATTTTTTTCATCTTCTCGGATAATAATCTACAAAACATACATCCAGCAACTTAGATTTCATACGTTAGAAGAAAGGTATATTTAATTTTCAAACATATAGTGAGAGATTTTGAAGCAACGTCGTCTTACAAATAAATGCAGATAAAAATAAAAAAAATTATTGAAGTTACATAAATTTGTTTGTTGTTTTCGTGTCTATGGATTCAAAGAACATCGAAAGTCTAGTCTAGAAGTACGATTTCTGCCGCCAGCTTCAGTGCCTATTGACTATAGATCTTAGATTATTTATTAGATCTGTCATTTATATTTTCATGACAAAATGACACAAACTATCTTCTTAAATATGACTATGTGGGAAGATGTGCGACACCAAACAGTTTTTCTTAAAAATCTTTAGAGTCCCGATTCCGAAACACGCCTGCATCTTTTAGAAGACAGTTTGCGGCATTTTGTCATGAAAATATAAACACACTGTATGTATGCAATTTCGTCTGTAAAAATTGATTTCCCTGTAAATTATATTACTTCAAAATTTCTTGTTTCTCTATGTCATACACATTATATCATTTATGTCTAGATACCGTCATGTGGGGTTACTTTGTGCAAATTCGAATTCGGCACTTTTCAAGTGCTGCTATTCAGTATTACTTTTTTTTTCAAGTTAAAAATGCGTGGAATTTGAAGATAGAAGTCTCCTCTATTACTACAAAAAATTTTTTTTGAATTTTAAAACAATCTTAGAGTGTGTTTTGTTTATCCAATGTCAACAACTTTCCGAAAACGTCGGACGTCGAAAAGTGTGCGTGGAAACTTTAGCTGTGAAATGCAAAGACGCTGATTAAACAATTGTCATAAGTGCAAAATTTTTTATTTATATATTAATGAACAATTATATCATGCTAGCGTTAAAAAAATTTGAAAATTAATAACAGATAAACGGAAAATGAAAAAAAATGCACTGTGGGGCTACTTTGTGCAAAGTTTCATTCGTTTTTTTTTCGACAGAAAAATTATCAGACGTTATAAAAAAATACCTGGAACGAGAAACTACCATGATTACACTTTAGAAAAGCTGCAACAATGTTTGCAAGCAGTTGCTGGTGGTATGTCGATTGCAGAAGCTTCTCGGAAGTACAAAATCCACAGAAATACTATCTCTAATAAAATTCACAAGAAACACGT